GTTTTAGCTGGCCCGGGCTGGGTTTGAACCCACCAGCCTCGGTGTACTGAGCTATGGGCACTGCCCTATCTAAAAGATTTAAAGTCAGTTTGTCAAAGAGAGATTTTGCATTCCCATATTCACTGCAGCACTATTCACAGTAACCAAGTTATAGAAATAACTTAAGTATCTATCACTGAATGAGTGAATTAAGAAGATGTGGTATAAATACACAATAGAAAACTATTCAGCCTTTAAAAAGAAGGAAATTCTGTTATTCGCAACAACATGAATGAAACTGAAGAACACTGTGCTAAGTGAAAGAAGCCAGCACGGAGAGACAAATACCACATGCTCTCACACGGACTCCGAAACGAGAACTCACAGAAGCAGAGAGTAGAATGGTGGCTCAAGAGTCTGGGGAGTGGGGCAAGGGTATAAAATCAGGAGGCACAGTCTCTTCGGGTCTGTAGCACCACATGGTGACTATAGATAAGAGTGTTGGACATTTCAGAATTGCTGAGTAAATTTCAAATGTTCTCACCACAAAAGAGTTAATATTAGGGTAATAGTTACAGTAAGCAGCTTGATTTAATTATTCCACATCGTATTCATAAATCATAACATCACTTTTTACTCCATAAATATATACAATTATAAATTAACAATTTGCAATTTAAAAAAAGAAATCCTGGCAGAGAGACAGCACTCCTAGGCGATTCATAGACCTTCATTCATTCATTCATTCATTCATTTACTTACAGACTTTATTTTTAGTGTAGTTATAGATTTATAGGAAAAATGAATAGAAAGTACAGAGATTTCCTTACATCTACCACCCCCGACCCTGCACACACACTCACACACACATTCTCACACACACACACACACACACACACGGCCTTCCTCATTATCAACAACCCCATCAGAGTGATAACATTTGTTACAGTCAATAAACCCACATTGATACCCAAAGTCCATAGTTTATATTAGAGATCACTCTTGGCGTTGTACATTCCATAGGTTTAGACAAATGTATGACGATGTGTATCCACCATGATAAGGTCACACAGAGTCGTTTCATGGCCCTAAAATCTCCGGGGCTCTGCCTGTTCATTCCCCTAAACTCTGGCAAACACTGATCTTCTTACAGTCTGCACAGTTTTCCTTTTTTCAGAATGTCATGTCAGAATCACACAGTAGCAGTATGTAGCCTTTTCAGGCTGACTTCTTTGGTAATGTGTGTCTAAGGTTCCCTCACATCTTTTTATGGCTTGATAGCTCATATAAACTTTCCATTTAACACTCAAATACTACCAACATCCACCTCCTGGGACAGAGGCGGAAGAGACCTTAGGTTCTAAAATTATCCTGAGTGCTCATGTAGCCCTGTTTCCCCAGTGAGCCATCAGCCAAGACTATGCTTACCAGTAGGGAAGAGTCTGTGGCCTCACTGGCTCCACCTTTCTAGGATGCTAGGATGCTTCAGCAAGTGAGGGCCCCGCTTTCTGCGTGAGGGCAGAAGGATAGGATCAGATCAGCGTCCCAAGTCAGCCCAGACTACCTTTTCCCTGATGATGTGGCCTTCTCCTGGGGTCCCACAGGGAGCTCAAAGTAGCTCACGACACAGAGCTCAGTGAGCTGGAGAACAACTACAAAACCGCCTTGAAGGAGGAGAAGTTGGCTGCCCAGAAGAAGCTAGGTACTGTGGGGCCTGGGACAATGGCTGTGGGTGAGGGAGCGAGAGGGTACTGTGTGGGCTCTGTGGCCGGGGATGGGCTGTGAAAGGGGAAGAAAATGACTAAAAATGAAACTGAAAAGAGGAAAAAACATGTTTACCAATGTCCTTCCTGCTCCTGGAAGATCTGAGTAACTCCTTTAATCTCCTTGAATCTTTAACCCATGTGAGAATTAAGGGCAAAGATGAGGGGATGAGAATGTGAGATCACTTTTGAAAGTATATTTTAAAGTTCTACAAATATAATACTATTTCAGTTCAGCAAGTTCCCTCACCTTGAAATGAAGTGTTTCATTAAATGCTCCCTGACAGCTGTGATCTTATCATCTTATACTGCGTAAGGGTTGTACTGGCCAAATAGCTCATTGGTTCATGCTGCCCTAGGGAAAGGCAAAGTGTGTAACTTTCAGAATTCTGGGTGGATAGACCAATTTCCACAGAGAAAAAGAGAAATTCTGTAACCTTCTTCCTTGATTTTTCACTGACATATTTTTAAAGATGGCATCTTATTCAGACTTTGCTAGTTTTCTAGTGTTCTGAAGAGAACATGTGTTGTTTTCATAAACTATGAATGTTGTTTTTAAAAGAGAAGCAGATACAGAGTAGGCTTTGTTCCTTTTCTTCCCACAGATGTTGGTTTACCTGCAGTGGGGGTGGGGGGTTCTCAGACCTGATGGGCATCAAAATCCAGCTAATACTGGGCCCCTCTCCTACACCCCAATTCAGTAAGTTTAGGGTGGGGTCTGTGCGTTTGCATTTCTATTAAGCCTCCTCCATGATTTCTGGATCACACAAAGGTTTCACTAAGGGATAAACTGGAGGTGGGGAAAGTGTGCGGGAGTGGTGATGACCATGTTGTTTTCCTTTTGTCCAGAGGAGATGGAAAAGGAATACAAGTATTTGAAGAATATGTTTTATATGTATCAGGTGAGTACAGAGCTCCTTGTTGGATTATGAGAGTGAGAGAAGCAAGGCCCATTCACAGGATGAATCGAGAACGCTTGCCCAGAAAACAATGTCCTGAAACTCCAGCATCATTGGACCTAAGTGGCACTAACTGCACCCAGGGAGAAGTGTAAACCTGATGGCATCTATGTGTGACTTCTACGCACAAGTCAGTTACTCAGACCCTAAAGAGGCCCATTAAAAAATATGTGTGACCAGGCTCGGTGGCTCATGCCTGTAATCCTAGCACTCTGAGGGGCTGGAGCAGGAGGATCCCTTGAGCTCAGGAGTTTGAGACCAGCCTGAGCAAGAGTGAGACCATGCCTCTACTAAAACCAGAAAAATTAGCCAGGCATATGACAGGCACCTATAGTCCCAACTACTCAGGAGGCTGAGGCAGGAGGATGGCAGGAGGATCACTTGAACCCAGGAATTTGAGGGTGCAGTGAGCTAGACTGATGCCTCAGCACTCTAGCCTGGGCAACAGAATGAGACTCTGTCTAAATAAATAAAATAAATAAATAAATAAATGGAAATGGAAATGGAAATATGAAACCAACAATAGCAACAACAAAAATAAATATCACCGCCCAAAGACGACCACTGTTAATATTTGTACTTTGTTAAAACTGTGTTGGTTTAGGGCCAAGGAAGTTGAGTTCACATTGTGTATAATCTGTATACATTTTTGTACTCTCTTTCTTCAGGTATATCAGAAGCTTTCTCTCCTTTTTCATTACTAGATCATTACCCTAATATTGCCCTAATGAAATTACCATTGGGCATTTCACTGTTTCCTGCTACTGGTCATTTAAGTTGTTTCCAATTACGTGATATAATATAACTTCAAACATCTTTGATTCTAAAAGTACAGTGCTGGGCCAAAAGGAATAAATTAGTTTAAGGGGTTTTAATAGATTTGGCCAAATTGCCATCTACAAAAACTGAATCCCTTTGCACCCCTACAAGCAGAGGATGGAGTGCTCCAGCTATCTCAGAACATCTCAGGAAACCCCATAGTGCTAGGCTAACGGGGACAGTTGGTCACTCTTGCAAAGTGTGACCAGCCCCAGCTCTGAAATTCTATTTACCACTCAGTTTCAGTCATTTTTCAATGTCATTTTCAAGTCAATGACATTTTTCAAAGTCATTTTTCAAGATATTCCTTGATGCAATCAGGAAAAACATCACAGATCAGAGCCTAAGAAGTGTGGGTGGTAAGTAGAATTAGCTGGGTGTGAATCCTGCTGCCAAGCTGAGAAGGAAGGGGGTCAGTGTCCTGGGATCCTACTAGCAGCATCCAGATCCTGGGCCATCCCCATCCTGCAGGTCCGTGCTCATGAAGTCTGAGCCAAACAACAAGACTGGCCTTGGGTTAGGCTTATTTAACCTCACCCACAAAAGGAAATTAGGTTTGTCGGGAACAAATATCCCTTTGTTTTCCATGTGTTCCAATTAACTTCCAGGCATTTCCTTCCTTTCTTCATGTGCTATTGAAGAGGGATTCATGATTGGTGGGGAGCTGACACGTGGTGAGCCCTACCTGTCATCAAAGGAATCCCAGTTCTCTGGGAGAAATGTGGTGCATTGTTTTTCCTTGACCATGAAGATCCCCAAGCTCTCCAGAGGCCAGACTGGACTTTACTTCCCACCAGTCACCCAGGAGGGCTCCTCAGTGGGGGAAGCTGCACAGGGCATGACACTGGGGCCAGGGCCCTCCCCAGGGTAAGTTTATGGCCTCTCCAGGTCTCCTTTGCACAGGACAATTTTCTTCATGGTGCCTTTGTGCCTCTACAGGACAGTATTTATGATGAAATGGAAGATAAATGGTTAAAGCGGAAGGCGGAATGGGAGAAAGATGAGAAGTTGGAGCGGGAAAAGATCCTGTTACAGCAAAGTGAGTACAGAAACTTCTAGCTTTTTGATGACAGGTGCATCAAAAAACTACCATGAAGCTTGGTCTTGACTTGAGGAAAGCATTTTCTGAGGGGGATGGACTACATGCTAGACTCACAAATGGAAGATACCCATTTTTAAGAAAGCAAAGTGACAGCAAAGGGCAAGGTCTTTTTTGAAGTTCAAACACCTGATTTAATGAGATCTAAACCTGCACTTTCTGAAACTCACTGGCTTCATGTTTGCCCGTGATAGGCCGGAACAAATGTTGGAATTACTATAGGGAGTGCAGATACAGGTGACCCCAATGTTCAAAAAAGTTCTTAAAATAAGAATAAGCGTGAAATATTCATTTGTGTAGGGAGGGAAAAACAACATAATCTGATGTACCAAGAGGCTCTATCTCCCTGTGTCTCCAGAGAGGAACATGTTTGATAAATATTTTTAATATTCCCAGCACCTAACACAAAGCCTGGATCATACCAAGTGTCACTAAGCGCCTTCGTTAGTGGATACAAAGCAGGAGAGGGACGTGTGGGGCTGTTCCAGGCCTAGAGGACTAACTGAGGCAGGAGTGGGGCCTCTAAAGACTAATTCCACAACTTACTCCAACCCTGTTTATCTTCTATTTAGTCAATTTTAACAGGTCACTCATTTAAATGCAGTAACTCTGAGGCTCATGCCTATAATCCTAGCACTCTGGGAGGCCAAGGGGAGGCAAGTGAATCGCCTGAGCTCAGGAGTTCAAGACCAGCCTGAGCAAGCCAGACCCCATCTCTACTAAAAATAGAAAAACTAGCCACACATTGTGGTGGGCACCTACAGTCCCAGCTACTCAGGAAGCTGAGGCAAGAGGATCGCTTGAGCCCAGGAGTTTGAGGTTGCTGTGAGCTATGACTCCCCACCTCCTGACCTTCCTCTTATTTACTGTTGGGCTCTGCTGTCAGGTTTCTTCAAACAGTGCAAGCCTATCTCTCCTCAGGGCAGAATGAATTTTCTTGCTGGCAAAGTCACATTGGCCAAGGAGCTTTAGGACAAGGATATCCAAGAAAATATAATGGTTATGTCAGCAGAATAAATGGACAAAATAATAAGCAACAGATCCAAAATGAACCACACACAAAAGAAACCAGAGGCTTTGGTG